GCTAACCATTCCCCCTGTTCTCCCGGGAGGAAGGCGTCGAATGACCTGACGGATCACTCTTCTAGGCGTACCAGGCTTAAAACGCAATGGCAAGGGATCTGACTTACGATTAAGAGTTTCAAGCGTAGATTCATCGTTTTCGGCGTCTTCGCTCACATCTTCGTCCTCTTCGTCGTCTTCGTTCTCTTCGTCATCTTCTTCGCTTTCTATATAATCTTCAGGATCCTCAAGAGTTTCCACGTCTGCGGATTCCCTGTAAACGAAGACACGGTCATTCTGTTGCAATAACGGCAATTCGATAGAGTTCTTACGCACTCTGTAGCCTGCGTGCAGACGTCTCCTATTTCGTTTGTTGCACGCGGCAGAGGGACGTCTGCCTACCGCGTCGCTAATCCTTCAACTTATCTTTTCAGTGTGCATCAAAAAAACGGAGACGTGAACGTCTGCACGCAGGCCATGCAGTAGACAGTAAAAGTGTTGGCATTTTCCTCGGTTGTTATTTGTTAACTAGTGATATCTACAGTGGATCCGGCTTCGCCCTAAGACCAGTCTGTTGTTGTGACTAATTTTTTCTTAATCCCCAAGTCATTCCGTTATTCTAGCAATAAGAAACACAGCTGCCCTGTGATTGCAACTAACCACCATGCGTCGAAGGCGAAGATATTTTGACCCTTAGTAGGACACTAACCGTCAAAACGTATTTACATATCGCAAATAGCAATAAACACAGTTTAACTGCATGTTCAAACTTAAAATTTGTCTGAACAATTTGTAATCTTGAAAGAATACATAGGTTGATGGTAGGGATTATAGAATTTTTGAAAAATCTATAATCTTCACTGAGGACCCCCTTACTTGCTTATTAAGAACTAGTTGCCTTGTCTTGTGGTTGATAAATGCAACTTTTTGTGCCGGGTGTGTTATTCCGACATGGTCCTTAACTGTCCTTACACCTTAAAATCGTTTTCTTTTTTTAATTCATTTTTCAACTGTTTAAAAACTGAATGTTTCAGATGTCTAATTTTTCAGACGAGGGGAACAAAAAGTTAACCGGTTAATCAGCTCCTGCTAGAAGGCTAGGTCATATTTGATGGGTGAGATGACACTGAATTCGGCATTATAATTAGAAGAAGATAAGCAGCAATAAAGAAAGCCGAAAGAATGGAAAATTTAATTAATCAAATACCGGACTGACGTCTATGGACGAAAATTAAGGGCGAACAATTGATACCACACTCTCGCAGGCCAAAAACGTTTAGTCATTTTTTCAAGGCAAACAGTACTAAAACTGACAGCGAAAGCACCGCAGCCTTCAGATAACTTACCTCTCTGAAGAAACTCCCTCTTCGCTATATTTTAACCCGTCTCTAGGAGCTCCTTCCTCGCCTTCGCTTGGTGAAGAAGAGACGCTTGTGCTAGCAAGAGCTAAGCTGATGGCTGTCAGTAAGACAAATGCGTTCATTGCTTTAAGAAATTAGCTCCGTTCTTGAATTTTATCCAATTTATACCTCTCTTTATGTCTAGATATTACTCATGTTCTGTAGTTATTGATGCGTTGCTCTTCGCATATCGCATATTGTACGTTCAGGTCATTTAAGTTAGTTTCATCCAGTTTCAGAACACATATTATACAACAAAATGGTTGAAACGATCTTATATCATTATATCACTGCGGGTTGAACAATTTAAACAGTCACTCAAAAACCCATATCGGGGTACAAAAATAAGTGCTGTTCACGATATGATGGGTTTCTGTTAGTTATACTGTATCACTGCCATTTTCAAATATGGTAGTTTTTAACAATAAATAATTTGGCAGCATACGACAGCTACCAAAGAAGGGTTGATTCACACTCAGAGGATATTACGTGGCCGCGCGGGGATACGAATTTTATCTTCGACTTTCAGCGCGAGAAGATAAAATTCGTATCCCCAAATGGCCATGTAATGTGCTGTCAGTATTTTATAGATACTGATGAAATTCCTACATAAAACACAACTTTTTTTTTATTCATTTTCAAAACAGCAAAATAGTGCAATTGAAGTGGTCACCTATCGCAAAATGCCTGTCACACTGAATGTTATGAAACTCAAATATAAAGTTATAAAGGAGAAATAAAGACAATAATACTTATAGTTTCTGTTCCAAAAAGTCAAAATTCTAATCATGTTGGCTAATCATGTTAGTAACCATGGCGACACCAATATCCTCACACGTGAAAGATAAAAATAGTATCTTCTGACTGCGCGCGATGAAGATATGATTTTTTTTCTAAAAGGAAAAATCTTGGTACTTCATCAGTATCTATATAATAAACATCCATTTGAAGCTAACTACATTGCCAACCGGATTTTTCATCAAAAGTAACATACATTTTTCTCCTAAATAAGAGAAATACATAGTGGATAAACCAATTGTTCCTTCTTGATTATTCCAGAATAGGATGACTTTCTTTCTGATAATTAAATCAATCTCCCTCCTCTCATATTTACTATAGTGCTATAGAACATAGCATGCCATATACCGGCTGCACTTACGTAAAACTATTTTAAGACGGTCTGCTAAAAAAATAACACCTCCCACGCCACAACCTAAAAGCAAGAGAACCTAAAAGTGTAATAATATTGTCACTCGACTTGTCGATCAAGTGAAGAGATTTAGGATCCAACAATAAATGGTAGCCGTAAAGTGTTGATAAGAACTTTTTAAACAGCAAGACCGGTTTCGGAAATCTAAGACGGTTTCCTTGGGTGGGTAGAAAACGAAGACCGACCTAAGACCCAAAAACGAAGACCCCCCTCAAAATCACTTATAAATATCTAGAAACGGGTATCTCGACCTTAGATGTGTAAGAAACAACAATATCTTCAATTATACAAAATTTCGACCAGGGCCTTCGTTTTCTACACAATCCCCCCGGTGTGTAGAAAACAAAGACCCCCTTCAAAATCACTTGGAAACGGCTGGAAACTGCAGCTTTTAACGACTTCTAGACACTAAACTAAAGGAGTATAAGAAACAACACCGCTCCTGACGATTTCCAATTACACAAAATTTCGACCAGGGTCTTCGTTTTCTACACACCGGGGGGATTGTGTAGAAAACGAAGACCCTGGTCGAAATTTTGTATAATTGAAGATATTGTTGTTTCTTACACATCTAAGGTCGAGATACCCGTTTCTAGATATTTATAAGTGATTTTGAGGGGGGTCTTCGTTTTTGGGTCTTAGGTCGGTCTTCGTTTTCTACCCACCCAAGGAAACCGTCTTAGATTTCCGAAACCGGTCTTGCTGNCCCTGGTCGAAATTTTGTATAATTGAAGATATTGTTGTTTCTTACACATCTAAGGTCGAGATACCCGTTTCTAGATATTTATAAGTGATTTTGAGGGGGGTCTTCGTTTTTGGGTCTTAGGTCTTAGGTCTTCGTTTTCTACCCACCCCGGTTTCCTTCGTCAGTTGCTTAGTGGTGCTCGTGGAGTTGCCAGCAAAAGAGAAAAAGCTGAGCTCATGAGTATAACAGACCTTTCGAAAAGGAAGTTGTTGAAATAGAAATTGGCAAATTAAAATTCGGAAAATTCGAAACGCCGATAATCGTTAATCTGGAACTGAAAATTCATGCAACAAAGTGTATCTTAATTTAGGAAGGTTTTATGAAACAAGCTTCCTTTAACATTTTTGGTTGACTCTCCGAACCTAAGGCCTTCTATTACTTTTAGGTTTCTCTGTGCCAATACCTGACCTTACTGGTCAAAAATAGTCATGAATAGTCTCCAAGGGTAGATCAGACGAATTTTCAATACCGAGGAGGGTGGGTTCAACCCTGTTTTTCCCTTTTTTGGCATCTTATGGCAGGTTAACCGTTCCTGGACGACAGTTGTGGGCTAGGGAAATATAAAGACCATCAAATTATAGCTTAGGCTTGATGCTTTTAGAGAATAAAGCATCATTTTTATAGGCCCAGGACAATCACTAAGGACTAGAGGACCGCCGCCCGGTTAGTTCAGTGGGATAAGCGCCGGTTTGCTGAGCGGGAGGCCTTAGGTCCCGTAGGTTCAAACCCTGGTCGGACCAACACTCAGGGTCTTTAAATAACTGAGGAGAAAGTGCTGCCTTTGTAATAACATCTGCGAACAGTTAGACTTTCTAGTCTTCTCAGATAAGGACGATAAACCGTAAGCCCCGTCTCACAAGCCCTTGCACATGTATTAAATCTGTGGGACGTTAAAAAACGCACACACTCTTCGTAAAGAGTAGGGCACGTAGTGCCCGGTGTAGTGGTCTGTCTCACTTTCACACTCATGTATGGGGGCATCATTACTCATTTCTTCATTACTTGTAAACTGTACCTTAAGCAGCCTGGCAAAGTCCCCCTACCAGTGTTGTAAATTATCCGTGAAAAGCCCTGATTGGAGTGCATAATAAGATATTTACAATTTACGATTTTAAACAAAGTCTCACATGAGTGATCCTCGATCCCCGACGATGAAACAGCATATTAAGTTCGAAACAAACACCGTAAGTTCGAGAGTTAAAACTCCCTGATAAACAAGAGTGGTGAATAATAAACTAGAATGGAGAAGGAAGTTACTTAGAAATTGAGTTTTTTGCCAACTATTTTATATTGTCTTTTTGGCGTGGTTCAGTAAGTTCGATACCTGCTTAAACAAGTATAAAAGCTACCATGCTGGAATTTCAGACGATGTTTATTTAGCTTGCGCCCACGAGAAATATGATGTCGTCAAAAATATTAGCGTTTCAAGCTATTTTCCCTATTTTCGTGGTCTTGCTTTGCGAAGACGTAAAAGGATACACTGACGAATATCTTAAGCTTGAAAACTGCTCCAAATCTGGGATAAAAGGCTGTTACAATAGAAACGATAGTTTGGCTTTGTGCTTTGAGATAAAACCAGGATTTCTACAACTGACAGACAAGAAAAATAATATACTGGTAGCATATAGAAAATTGCCAACACAAAGATTTCATGCTCAAGTTCTAGACGACCACTTCTTGTGGTAAGTAGTGTCATACTTTTTACCTACTAACCCCATTTTTGTTTTCCAGTGGACAAAGTATCTTAAAATCAGTTTTCTTTGAAACGAGATAGGACCTGTTATTTTTCACAGCTTCATTACTAATTACAGAACAGGTATAACATTAACGTTCAACGGTTATTCTGAAACCATTTATGATAAGCGCCATTCTTTGGTGATTAATCCTGATACTACGGGCTGAATTGTTTTGAAATTTCACGAAAACATTTGTTTTGTTGAAAAGTCTAGCTTATCTTGAGAACGATAATCATATCTATGTCATTTTGTGATTTTGAAAACAGTTTGAATGAGTGCAAAGCTCTCGGGTTTGTTGAAAATCAACAATCAATCAACATTCAACATTTCGAAACATTGAGATTCTTTTGAGAGATGAGGGGCTTAAATGAACATCAACAACAGTTTTGTTTCTTTTTCCAATATACAGGCATCATTCAGCAGCAGAGCCCTTGTTCATAAGACCAGGCAAGACGGCAAAGATCACAACAGACGGAAAAAATCACGTTCTCCATGATTTGACAACCGATGCCGAAGAAATATCCCCCGCTCTGTATCGGCAAGTAATGGGAAAACTTCTTGGAAAAAAAGAAATGAAACTCCTAGAGCGCGCTTCACACGCTTTGCACGATACTGCAAAGAACTATAACATAACCAAACTTTTGCACGTGTTTTCCATGAGCTTTCTGGCAGATCAAGATGGGAATACACTTACGCGTGGTGTAATAACCGCTGACTCGAATCGCCACAGATGCAAGAAACATGATGACAACGAAAAACGAGGTTCCTGTGAAGACATGCGGAGGGATCCGTATAATAACGACTGTCTGGGAATGTGTGGTCCTAAATGTCGTTGTTGGTCAATAATTTGTGACAACTGCTGCTATCATAAAGGCTGCTATGAACATGACCAGTGCTGCCGTCATGGGCATTTGTCTGGGTATTGCTTGCTTCCATTTTTTCATAGCTTCAGTTGCAAAAGTTATGGAGGGTACCCTGCTTGCCTTAAGGCTCATTAATCACTTGCTACTGTTGTTTTCCGCATTCCGAGGACTATTAATAGTACCTTCACTGTTGCAAATTGACCTTAAATTTAAAAATGAATTTAAAAACACCTCAAGGTTTCAGGATGTGTGTGCGGAGTTTTGCTTATTTAAGGCCAATTGCGTTTTCACGTCGTCTCGTTTAAGTCGCCATCGTGGTTGAGTATTTGTATGAGATTTATGTCGGAATGAAAGATGACAGCTTGTTAACACAATTAGGTCAAGTTTTATTTAACATGTAAGTTATTTTACGCGGAAACCGTTTAGTTAATGTATTTTGGTAAAAAAAAAAATTAAATATACACATTTTGTCAGAAAAAGTTCATTATGTTTTTTATCGAGTTGTTTTACAGTCAAATTTTCTGCTCTACTTATGGGCAGCCGAGAAGTAACCAGATACCGCGCGAGACACATCGATCTTGGACCAGTGAACGTACGTTCGGTTGAGGAAGGATCTGGGTTTTTGAAAGTGACCAACTCTGACTTAATAGGGAGCTGATGATGATGATACCTTTTGTAAAAGGGTCAAAACTATAAAAGCGGAGTACAACCACTCAGTGGGAACACTAAAATAAGTTGAAAAACAATAAATCAATAAATTAATTAATTAAAAATGAAAAAAAGAAAACAGAATATAGGAATTAAGAAATTAAGAACTTAAAGAGCTTAAACAACGACTTCGAGAACTGGAAAAGAGAAATGGATTTAAATTAGCAAAACAACAACTCTGCAAGAGCATCATCCTTGTTTGGATACTCCTTCGCCGATGATACACAACTAAAACTTAAAACTTCCTAATTTCGCGTTTTGCGGAAAACCTGGTCTCACGTCAACGATCTCCTCTTTCTTTTTTTGGCCTTAGCTACAGTCCTTTAGGATTTAACTCCGAAAAAGTCGCTAAAATTTCATAAAAGAACGAGATGGAGTAAGAATAATGTAGTCAGTTACAAACAGCGCAAATTCACTTTTCTAAAGTGACGTTTTTGCGCCGTCGTTGTCAGTGGTTGCTTAAGTTCCCAAATGGCCCTTGTGGTGTTCAAAATGTCTGCAGCGACAATACATTGAGGTTGCCAAGTAACCAGCAAGAAAGCAATTGACTCAGCTATCCCTTTCCCGCCTCCATCTTCAAAGTCAAGAGCTTGCTCGGAGGTGCGCTGGCAAGAAACTCAGAGCCTTGTGTATTTTGTTGTGTAAAATGAAACGAAATCTCTCCGCTTCGAAAATAGTTCAGAAACGGCTGATTTCCTTTGCGCCTTCTAATTAAAACGCGCCATTTATTCCTTGAATCAAAATTCCCGAAATAATAAGAATAATAATAGTTTCCCAAATCTTTGCTCGTTTGGTAAACGCGGCAAGGAACCTGGTGAAGAGGTAGGTTGAAGACCCAATCTTGAAGAAAAAAATCATTATTGTCAGTCTAATTCATGGAGACCGGGTCCAGCTTTCTACTCTACGATTTCTGGTATCATCCGAGCAACGTCAACTCAATTCATACATTTAGTAATCCGACCGGTCCCAGTAATTTCAACGTCAAAACCTAGCGATGTCTCTGAAAATTTCCTTGTGCGATCATTACGCAATTTTCAATAAAAAAACTTATTATAAAACTTCATCAAACTGTGGCTAAAGCCTTTTTGGCTAACTGATTAGATCTCCATTTAAGATACGAGCAATCAGGAAGCTCCTTCCGACTGTAGGCCTCCGTGTACGCTGTCAAACCCGATATCTTTTCGTTTCCCCTCTGGAACTTCTCCTCTGGTTTCATGCACGTTCGCGGACGTCCACATTCGGCGCCTTTGAAGTCTTGATTGGTAACGGATCCGTCTTGATGGAATTTTACGGCAGGCTTCTGGTAAAAGCTGGTCTCGTGAAAATCCCCGTATCGAATATAGGGGACTGTCCCATGAGCTTTAAATTGCGCGTTATAAGCGGTTTCGTCAAAAAACTTTGCCTTGCTTGGCGCAATCTTCGAAGGGGGTCTTATCTTTGTCACTTTGACCGGCTCTTTCTGTTTAAAATCTTCTTTAGTGATTGTTGTGGTGGCGAATTTCTTATCTGGCGCAGCGTATTCTCCATCGTCGGGCTTCAAAATTTTGGTGCGTTCGATCTTGCTTGGGTCCCACGTGATCTTGTAAAACTTCTTATTGGTTGTCTCAAAATCCTGAGAATTGTTCATAGCCAATCGGAGTGTCGCAGGGGGAGGTGAAATGGGTTTTGGCGGTAAGGGCATCTTCCCGCCAAAACCTGGGAAGTCACTCTTCGCTTGAGTGTCGTCTCGGAATTTCGCACGCTTCTCGGTCTTCAATGTCGGTTGGCGAACCTTTGCTTCGGGTCTTGCGTCACTTCCGGGGGTCTTAAATTCGTCTTTATGGACTGTCCGTAAAAAGTGATCTCCTTCAATACCAATGGTCACCTGAGATTGCTTCGGTTTAAATGCCTCCGGTCTGGCTGCGAACTTGCCACGGTACACGTCTTGGTTCCATGTTTTAACGTCATGTTTGCGGTCTTTTTCAGGATAAAGAATGGCCCCCGTATAGCAGGGTAGCTCACCGAATGGTGCGTTTGGGCTGGGCACTTTTGCAGTAAACGTTTCGCTATGTGTTGTCGCCGACTGGAATTTGAGGCCCTTATTTTGTGTAACTGTCTGAGGCCGTTTTATTTTTACCACAGTGGATGGTCCCCTGTCGATAAAGTCTTGAGCATAAACCGTCTTTCCTTCAATTTTCTCTTCTGGTTTTTTATAATCTTCCACAAACTGTGGAAATAATAGCAAAGTCCAGATATTAAAACAACATATTTTGTAGTATATAAAGCCGAGTCAGGATTCTACAGTCCTATTTTAGATGGGCAGTCACTATGGAATTAGGTTACCGTAATTCCCTAAAATTTCAACCTTTTACATGACTCAACTAACTAGTCATCCTCACAAAATTTGATTTCACCCAGCAACAAAAAACTTAGACACCTACAAAGCAATGCTGGTTTCAGAAGCAATTATATACATCTGTCACATCACCATTTTCCAAATCGGTGGATAGCAATTCTCGCGCTTTGATTGGCTTGGAATACCATACAGAGTTTAATAGTGATGCAATTTAGAAAGGTGAGTCAAGATGGCGTCTCGTTTCGGAAGAAAGATTTTTTTTAACAATAAATAAAGCAGCTATACCAACAAATACCAAGACAGCCACGAAAATTGGCCTGTGTCAGGGTTTACAAGTACGTAAAAAATTATCTTCTTGCTGAAATGGCAAGGCACTGTCAGTTAAAACGTAAATGAAGAGTTTTTTATTTACAAAAAAAAATACTTATCCATTTCTCTATAACTGCATTATAAGTAAATACTTAATAAACAACTATCCCCCTCCGGGTTGGTACCGTGTGCTAGATGTATACCTCAACGGGGGATAGTCATCGAAGTCATCTATGAAGACCATGATCAATGCTCACATTGACCTCAAAACAGTTTATCACTAGTCTCATACCTTACACAGTCCTTGAGGTTCTGGCTTTCGCTCAATGAAATCCAGTCTCTGCACTGTCCTAAAATCCATCGGAGGAGGATTGGGGTTTCTTAGTCGAGGCAGCGGTTTCCTTGGATTACGTGGTTTGGAACCTTCATGAAGCGTGTAGGCATGTTGATAATCTGTTTTGACGTCAGACATACCTGGCCTCTTGAACACTTGTTTTATCCTCTGAGGGTTCTTGGTGCAACCTTCATGGCGATGGTACCCCCTAAGAAAAGATGAAAAAAAACAGAAATCATTCCCTGATTACAATCCTCTTACCAGCAAAAAGTGAAAACCCTTTTCGGCCTCGTGTCTGCGGTAGCCTGAGCTTCGTTTACCTTTCTATTGACGAAAAAAGCAAACGTACATTTTTTTAATTTAATACATGTCGCCACATAACACAAAATCAAACAGAGAAGGACTCTCTCTTTCTTTCCAGACCTCCTACTTCCCCTCCCCCACCCCGCCACTTTTTTTCCTCGTTTCCAAATTTTCTCCATTTAAAATTTTTTAAGGTCTTTACGCTGCTCCCTACCGACTAACTGATAGCCACGCTCTTTGCAGCTTGCAGTCATGTGACCTTTTCATGGTCAGAATTATGGGACATGACTTAAACAATACCAGAGTATGAAAAAGTATGTGGAACTCAGCTATATTGAAGAAATGTAATTTTAAGGTGACTGACACAAACGAAAACTAAGAATTAGATTTTCTCAAAGCCCGTTTCTGGCGGTTTCCGCTGGTTTAGCCTGTTAACTGACCCTCTATTTTTCTTAAAAGTCTGTCGAGCGCGCATGATAAAATATAAACCTCTTACTCATTTAATTTGCAAGCGAATGTTTTTTAGCCGAATTCCTAAGAACCATATTCAAGTTCAGAAAGAGAAAGAAAATTTGGCCGTCGCTTGTTCACGTCCTCCCTAAAACTTGAGATTAGGCATTTTCCCGTGCAGTGACGGCAAAGAAATGTAAAAAAAAGCGTGATGCACGTGCAGAGTTGTTGTTTTGCCTATTCAACCTATTGCACTTTTGGCGTTCTCGTTGTCGTCGCCGTCGTGTGAGTCGTGGAATGGGACATCAATCCCTCGCTCATAGTTTGCCTCTTTCTTTGCGCCCGCCCCGTGATTTGATCCTTTCCAAACCTAGAGCCCGGTCCTAGACTGATCTCGACTAACTCACTATTGAGAACTTTTTGTTTTTCACTCACTTCAGGTCTCCAACTAGGTGGAGTTGTATCCCATTATTTTGGCATGAGATAGGTCACGTGCAGCCGAACTAAAAATACACCTGCCCTAATCAAAGATACCAGAGCGCGTGGTACAGAAAAAAATTAAAGTAACTACAGTTGATTTAGCAGTTCGTAGACCACAACAAACAAACTGTACTAGTCTTAAAGCCAAAAAATCTGACTCGTTTTGCCAGCGTATTATATGCTTGTTTTTCAATCAGTTTTAGACGAGAAGACTAAGGAGCTGTCCACACGGGAACCAGTGCCTGGGTACTGGCACATAATGGCGTTGTGTTCACACTTTGAGTACCTAATACGTGACTGTGTACATAGTTACCCCATGTCGCCCTGTCAGACGCCATTTTGAAACATGCGCTTAGCAGCGAGAACATAGCAGATGACTGTCCGGAACGTACAAAAACTGTGTGCGCATAGGGACCCGGTGCCCACTTTTGTGCCAGATCGCGAGTACAAGGTCGATACCTTGTACTCAGGCACCGGCACCGTGCCCGAATTCTAGGGTAGGTACTTGAAAAAAGGGCGGTTCACATTATTGGCCAGCGAGTACTGTACTCGGGCACCAAGTGTCGCACCAAGTATGAACGCTGCCTAAGTGTAAACAAGAGTCACATTTTGGCTCTTAGTGTAAACAATCCCAACAAATGAAAATACTTTGAAAGATATTTAAATTGACTAGCGAATGTAAAATTATTTTTAGCTTTACAAGCGAAAGAAAAAATAGTTCTCTTTCTTTTTATGAGTTTTTTTTTTTCGTTTCCATAACACGATAATCGATTTAAAAATCAGTATTTTATCCACCGTTTTTCTTTGTCTTAAAGTTCTGTGTTCAGTGTTGCGTGATCTGATCACCCGCAGATGTACCGTTCCTCTCCACCCTCCCATGCCTACGTCTTATGTACTGAAATAATTTAAATCGGGATATTGTCAAAAAAAAGCTAAGATGTCGTCCTTAGGAACTTGAGATGTGTATTCCTATCCTATAAACGAAGACGAGTCCGACCAGCGTTGACTAACCGCGGAGAATAGAAATTTGTTGAGTGTTGCTTTCACTATGTTTTTGATACATTGCAATCATAAAGCCAAAAGAATGCCTTTTACTTTGTTTTGATAAAGTGAAATGCATAAATTTAGCTAACTGCAAGAAGTTTTATGGAAACAGCTAATTATTGTTTTAGGGAGATAAAAGAAATTAAAAGTCTGCCGCGGTTTGTTTACTGTAAATTACCAAAACGACACATAATGCGAGAAGAAGGAGGACGCCAAAACCTTACTCAAAATTTTCACACATCCGCCGAAATGTTATTTCATCTATTCATTGATTAAAGAAGTAACAGAATTTCTTTAATCACACAGCAACAAAACAGCTGCCGAAAACGAAAATGTGTCGAACAACGCGCGTCTTTAAGTTGCAAGTCATGCTTCGTTTAGTAACTCACCCGCAATCGCATAACTCACAGACACATTTCAGTCCCTTCTCTCGCAAAAGGTTCTCTGTTTCAGCTGTATATTGTCTTCTTAGCGCCATATTTTTTTTCCTCTAAACCTGAAATATTAGAGTCGGAATTTTGATCTGTTAGCAGGAAATAAATAAAAGAGCTCCCGTTTACCAAAATAGTGTTCTTCTGTCGCTTTTAACGCACGCGATTGTCTCTGAAGAATGGCAAATTAGCGGTTTTACATTCAGCAACATTCATCATTTATACCTTACCAGGATTACTTGAAAATCGCTCTTATTTGTGTAGGTTAAGACGAAAGAATCATTCACAAGCTACCCGCATCATTGAAGCGAGGTGTTGTGACTTGGAGAGTTTACAAGAGTTGGCCATTGCTATTGACAACGGACAGATTAATATGAATATCATGAATAATAGTTCTTTTCGTATATTCCCTTGGGTAAATAAAACGTCAAAATGGAAAGAAATGATTGGTCATTGTGTGAAGTACTTATTGTTTAACCATATGGAATCTGATATAAAATAATTACATTGTCAAATATTAAATTTTTTAATTGTTCTTGACATATCAGATTATAGCCCCAGGCGAAAATGTTCGTTCAACTCCGCAAGAGGTCGTAAGCTTTCGTTTACTCGTCGTTGGCCGATGATTGATCACATGTTCCTCACGAATCTCCCGCGCAAAACAAATATGGCGGACGATTAAAAGTACAGATCCTCTTTTGAGAAGTTCCTCGCCGTAAGAATACTCTAATTTTACCAAGATACGTCTTCAGTTCCGTGTGCAATGAATCTACTGCCTTCGTCAACAGTTCGGTTAATCGCGAGTTCGCAAGTGATTACCTCCGTGAGCTCGGCAGTCAAAGAGCTCATCGAGAATTCGCTTGACGCAGGGGCAACAAGCATTGAAGTTAAACTGGTGAGTGAAAAGATTAGGAAATCTCGCACATCTCCGAATATTATTCCTACATGCAATACTTTCATACCATTCCTTGGGGAATCCTGAGAAATGTATCGATTGCAGCTGTAGATCGATCGAATACAGGTCTACTTTCGGAAAGAAGTGTGGGGGAGCCCTGGAGAACATAAAACACAATTGTGGCAGTAATTAAACATTATCATACTGTACTAGCTGATAATGAAAATTTAAAAGGTAGGATTGATTGCAGAATACCCGGCCCACTAAAATATATATCTTACTTGAAAAAGTGGGGTCAAAACTGCAAATATAGTTCGGGCGTACAAATTTCGTTCGGACATGTATACCTCTGATATGACTTGTCCGTGGAAAAAATACAGAAGCATTTGAAAATTTACTTCAAATTACCTGTATAGTAGAAAAATAAGGGAAAATATTTCTTTTAACTGTGCCATAGTGGGGCCCTTTTACAAAATAATGTATTTGTTTTTATGAGCTTCGCTTGGCTTAGGAGGTCTTAGGAACCTGGCAAAAAATTTTGGACAAGAACACTTGGGTTTTGGACAACCAAATGTAATAAAGTGCTTGTCCAAGGGATAAGTGGATAAGAAAATTTTTCTCTTCCTCTGCTACATACATACATGTACTCCGAAAATTGCTATGTTTAATCAAACACCAAGGAGATCAGAGTATTTTTGTCTTACATGTACATGTGTTTCAGGATGGATGGGGCTTGGAAAGAATAGAGGTTCGTGACAATGGATGTGGAATAAAACCTGAAGATGNAAAATATTTCTTTTAACTGTGCCATAGTGGGGACCTTTTACAAAATAATGTATTTGTTTTTATGAGCTTCGCTTGGCTTAGGAGGTCTTAGGAACCTGGCAAAAAATTTTGGACAAGAACACTTGGGTTTTGGACAACCAAATGTAATAAAGTGCTTGTCCAAGGGATAAGTGGATAAGAAAATTTTTCTCTTCCTCTGCTACATACATACATGTACTCCGAAAATTGCTATGTTTAATCAAACACCAAGGAGATCAGAGTATTTTTGTCTTACATGTACATGTGTTTCAGGATGGATGGGGCTTGGAAAGAATAGAGGTTCGTGACAATGGATGTGGAATAAAACCTGAAGATGCCCCATTTGTGGGTCAACCTCATTATACGTCAAAGATATCAAACGATGATGATCTGAAATTTCTTCAAACTTATGGGTTCCGTGGTGAAGCCTTGGGATCTCTGGCTTCAGTAAGCAATGTGTCTGTTTTGACCAAGACAGAATCTGATGAAGTTGGCATGCTGTATACTCTGCAACGCGATGGTAAAATAGAGGCAACCCAGCCTAAACCAACTGTCACTGGTACGACTGTTGTAGCATCAAATTTATTCAAAAACCTTCCTGTAAGGAAACAGTTTTCCAGCAACAATAAAAAGTGCAAAGAAGAGTTGAAAAGAGTTGAGGATTTGGTGATAGCGTACGCATTAGTGCACCCTTCCCTGCGGATTTCCTTGCGTCACAATAAGACTGTCATCTGGCAAAAGAGTAAAGTTTCAAATCATAAAACAGCTCTGTTGTCTGTTTTTGGAACTGCATTATTGGCACAAATGGGAACAATAGAATTTCATGATGAGAGCCAATGCAACATTCGTGTGCTTGGGTATCTTCCCAAACCAGGGTCTGATTCAGAGCTTACTGGACGTGCGGTGAATGATAGATGTTTTGTCTTTTTTAATGGAAGGCCTGTTAACATGAAGCAAATATCACAGGTAAGTTTAATGATGCACATCTTTTGTGCAATCCTAAAATGCCTCTATTGAACAATCTCTGTATAGCTGTACATTGTATATAGTACAGTACCAAAACAGCATTCTTGCTGCAACTTCAAGGGCTTTTCTGACAACCACTGGTAGCTTTTACCTTTGGGAGAGTATTCAACACACTTTTTTTATGCAATTACACCCTGGCAGTTGTACAGAGAAAATGAGTGTTACTTTAGATTAAAATATAATACATACATACATACATACATACATACATACATATATTTATTCAAATAAGCGCCTAACCTCGAATTAGCTCCCACCTGGAATAAGTGCCCATCCTAAAGGCAGAAAAAGTCATTAAGCGCCCAGCCTCGAATAAGCACCCATCCCCACCCCACCCTCTTTCACCTCCTAACCGAAAAAAATAATTGAATAAGTGCCAATAAGAGACTTCCCCGAAGACGGAGTTTTCTTCAGAGTATTTTACAGAAACCTTCCTTTGTTACATCTTCGAGTTTTGTTATTACCATTTATTGTTTTGTTGCAAAATAAATATAAGCGCCCAGCCTCTAATAAGTGCCCACCACAGCTTAGTACAGTATATCAGGTAACCTGTGCCACAGATGAAACCAACTATCCTTGTTGTAGGCCCCCAGCTGTGTACCCAGATGTGAAAGTACACTATTGTTGGCCATTATTTAAAATGCATTGGCTGATTTTTCAGCAACATTGAAAGGAAGTTTTTGAAACCCCCTTTCAGAATTTTTTTTGTGTCTGTTGCAGGCCCTAAACAAGGATCTCTGCACTACTTTGCCAACATTACTAGCCAGGTTAGATTATGTACAGTACACTGTATAGGAAACAGGCTAAGAATTGGGATACCTCTCTTTTACCACAGGTGATCAAGCAGTACTACAACAGTCACACAACTGGTACAGCAAACAGATATCCTGTTGCTTTTCTGGACATTACAGTTCCTCCAGATGGCTTAGACGTCAACCTTGAACCTAACAAAACTAGTGTTTTGTTGACAAACAAAGAAGAAGTCATGACTCTGTTGACCAATCTGTTGGAGGAATTTTATTCTGATGAAAAGAACAAAATTTCTGACAGAACATTAACTGGAACCTGTACTAGCAATGGTGCTGAAAAAGGAGATTGTCCTTCAAAGAATGAGTGTGGTATTACTGAAAATATTTGTAATGGGAATGTTTCTGGTATACATGTAAGGTCAAGTGGAATTGCTAATGCAGTTGGTGAATGTAATGTCACAGAGGCTTGTAGGCCAGCTGGCAAAGTTGCTAATGGTACACCTTGCTCTTTAAGTATGGAAAATAACCAGCATGAAAACTCTAACCATCAAAGTTCACTGTTTGAAAGGACAGCAGAACGTAACATAGAGCACAGTGCATGTAAAGCAGCAGAGAATACATCATGTAATGTTGACTTTCATCCAAACAATGCTGCGCAAAGCAACATTACTGACAGCACCAGTAATAGTTGTTTGACTTCCAAATCATCTCATGGTAATGAAAAGCATACATGTAACAATAACTCTGGCGAAGTGCAGAAACGTGTGGATCAAGCCACACCCTCAACTTGTCATAAAGATACTTGTACAAATGCAGGGCAACTCTGGGGTACAATAAGTGATAAGTCTTTGTGTGCAATCATTGATCTGGGGCTTGATGTCCTCAACACATCTAGAAATACGACAGTAGGAAATGGCTTGGTACATGAACAATACGATTCTGACAAACATGACAGCTCTGTGGGACAGACAAGTAGTGATGATATCCAAGGCATTGAATCTTCAGGGAGAAATATGCTCATTAACAAGGACAACTCAAAAGCTGGTATTTGTGCAGAAAAAATGCGGGATGTGGAAGTGTCAACATGCAAGCCTTCCCTGAGTAGGTCTGTTGAGGATTTGTTTTCAGATGACTTTAGTGATGATCTCTTCGATGATTTAGACTTAGAAGTCAGTGGTGTAAACTGTAATGACAGATCATCCACTTTGGTAAGACATGTTGAGCCCGTGGAGAAATCTAAAGATAAAGATTTCCCTGTGTCTTCTTCAAACAAGGATTCTGTTTCCCTGGAGAAATCTGTGGCTCCAGGTTCATCTGACACATCTGATGCAAAATGTAGCGAGAAAGACTGGAGTATGGGACATGGAATTGTGGATAAGCAAGGAAAGCCTGTTGAGGTACATTGTATAATTATTTATCAACCCTTTAAGCCCCAGTATCCACATACAAATTCTCCAAACTGATCTCCATACATTTCCTTAAAGATATTAGCTGAGAGAAATTGATAAAAGATCAAGGCAGTTTCTCTTGGGTGATCATTTTATTACTTCTCGTAACTTATCTCTTGACAGTGTATAGATATTGTTAAGAGAAAATTGATCTTGGTCACTATTGGGACTTAAAGGGTTATAGTACTCGCTATCGGTCTTCTCATTGGCTAAGAACCCATGGTTACTTTTGGAAATCGGTGCAAACTTCAGATTTGTTAGTTACATTGTATCTTCTAGCCGACAACTGACTAATCTGTAGGTTTCATGTACAATGCATTGTTTTCAAGAGCAATGTCAAACTGTGTTTTGTTCAAAGGTGTGTTTGTCATTTAACCAATGAAAGAGTAAAACTACACCTTATATTATACAGGTACTAAAATATCTGGTAGTTACTGTTAGTACTTAAACGGGTAAAGTATGTTAAGGTTTGAAGAAGTCATCTAAAACTTATTACATTAATTTTCTAACTAGTATTCTCCATACATGTACACTTTATACAATAAGTTGTTTTTATTTTCAATTTTAAGCCTGTTTGCCTCATTACACCTGGTCCTCTCAACAAACAACCTTCAGCTGCCTGCAACAATAAGACTCCAGTTACTCCACTTCATGGAAAAAGAAAACAATCCTCTTGTCAGGTATGGGATGTGAAATTGTGCAATTACTGTAGCATGATGGTAGAATATACATGTAGAAGGGAAGCAGAAGAGACCTCTCGCAGGAATTTTGTAGAAGTGCCAGAGTGCCCAAATTTCACACAATGAAAATCTGTCTCTAGACACCATCTTGGATTTCAAGAAGAATCACTGTGCAGGTGTATAACTCCCATGTGGTGTTTTTTTTTAGCAACTAATTTTTTATGGAAGAAGTAGCCAGGCCACTACGACATAATTTTTAAAGACACCATTATGCCTCCCAGAAAAATAGGTAATTTCATGCTCTAGCTTGGGTGTGGTCTGTATTCCATCTTTGTGCATAGCTTACTCATTGTACGGTGTAATCTCCAGATGACGTTGTTCAGTCTAGCCTTCTGATAGGGAGCCAAAACTATTAGGCAGTTTTCCTGGATTTCCAAGAGGTCACACTTTTGCAGTAAACAAGTCCAATGTTAGGCAAATTATAGGTCTTCTCAGGGTAGTCAAACTCCCTTGTGCACTATTTAACAAATTTCGTCTCAAAATAAAAACAGGTACAGTGTTTGTTGCACTATTTTTTTAAAAATTGATAACAGTTGTACCTTTCTCTATTTCTCCACAGTTAAGGTTATCTCTGTCCAGTAAGAAGATCAAGAAAATTCCTGAGGTTTGTTTGTTCACTAACTCTCGCTCTAATCATTTAATCTGCAAAGGGTATATCCAATCAGGGCAGATGTAGTAATTTGCTAATATTAGTTTTTAAAATATTTGATGAAAGTGAATGACTGTTCTTCTCCTCAATGATTGTAAAACCTCCATAAAATAACCTTGTTATAGAGAGTATATTTTGCTAGTTCTTGACCCTTTTGTTATATCGAAGTTCCAGTGCATTTCACGCAATCTGACTTTTGGACCATTCTGTTTTCAGATCACAAACCAGCCACTGATAACCAAAATAATGTCACCAAACCCAATGCAGAGAAAAGTTTTGTACAAGAAGGAGAATATTCCATTTTGTTTAGCTACTTTGAAGCAGTCACAAGATGACAGAGGGAAAGATCAGAGGTACAAGTGCGTAGTATTATAAAAATCTTTTTTTTTTTCATCAATTTTATTTGCTTCTCAACATACAAAAGTAGGAAGGGATGTTGAATTATAAAATCCAAGACAGGAGGTCTTTGTTGCAAATAATAACCTACTTTTCCACTTCAGTGACCACAATAATAGCCTGCTGGTTCTAAAACTGTACAATTTGCATGACTATTAAATCATTGTCACCTTCTGAGAGATTAATAAGCAATACTCTGACTGTGATTACTTGTATTGGCAAATGTTATCAATTGTTTGCCCCCTGAAATACTGTGTGACTTTACTTGGATCCCATCACACTCCTAACGCGTGTGCAAAGATGGCAGGTATCATGAATAAGATCTATTACTTAGTGCACTCTTTCTTTACGTTCAATAATGGACTCCAGCGCTGTTTTTAAGTTACCATACCAGTGTTACCAAAACATTCTAAGAAATCACATTTCACATGTACATGGGCAGTGTTACTTGTGATTGAATCTGCAGATCCAAACAAGAGGAAACCAATTCAGATCATTTGATTGGTCGACTGGATCCCTGGGGTGTGTGGCTAATTAAGAGGGGAAACGATATTGTTTGTGTCAATCAGTACAGGTAAATAATAAATTTTACTTTCAGCTGCTCATTCCAGAATAGTCAGTAATACATG